GTGTGTGTGCGCGTGCGTGTTAAAGTTCACCGAATATATCTGTAGAAAATATAAATTGCGTAAAATAGACAATCGAAAAATAGTATTTAGTCCTTGCTTACGCATTTCGTCATTCGACTTTATCAATGAAATTGATGATAAACACATTATATATATATATATATATATATATATATATATATATATATATATATATATATATATATATATATATATATATATATATATATATATATATATATATATATATATATATATATATATATATATATATATATATATATATATATATATATATATCATAAAATAACTGATTTAAAATGTTTTTCACTACACAGTAATAACCTTGTTTCAAAAATGGAAGCTGAAAGCTTCGAATTTAATTTTGTAATTAAGTAAGGAAGTGCAAAAGGTGTCCGTATTGCTAATTGTCCCAAGAATTTCGGCGACTCTTGCCATTTTCAAGGGGTTTATCTATCGGTGTTATTAATTTAATGTAAGAATGTTGCAAAAACTAAATAAAAAATTCATAGCATTTTTCTTGTCATATGCAATGAAACATGTTTAAAAGAATGGTTGCTGCTCAAATATATATATATATATATATATATATATATATATATATATTTCAGTCTGCTAGTGAGAATCGTCTTCAAGAAGCGAGAGCAAGATCTAAAATGTCAGCCAATCTAACAGTGGCCTCATCCCACAATCCTCACTCTTGCTCCATTTGCGGCCTCCTTTGTAAATTACTAGCGGGTCTTAAGGGCCACTTAAGATTATCGCACAAAATTCATAACTGAATTAATTGGTTAAATTGTCAAATACTCATACGTCGAAAGCGACGGGAGAGTCCATGATATATATAAAAGGCAATCAACATTCAGACCCAAAAGCTGTTATTATTACTTTCAGTGACTTTTTGGTCTGAATGTTATGTTGAGTCCTTTTTTTTCTATCTAACTATCTTGGAGTTTTTTTGGGGGGTTCAGAACATGAAGCGGAGCATAAAAGATTAGAAATAAAATTTCCTTAACTCAGTATCTTTTTCGTAATGTTATTGCCTACGAGTAAATCAAAAATAACTTCTTTCTCCATTGTTGGTTATTACAAAAACTGCCGCTTCGCAGTCCTTCCCTTACTAGAAAATCGATTTTATTATCTTGACTTTTTTAATATTTGATGAAGCATAGTCAGACATGATTAATTTTTAATAATATTTTTAATCATAATTTTAAAATAATTTGAATTGTAACTATTTAGGTCGTCATTCTACGAGTCTAGGAAAGCAAGAGTCGGAAATAAAAAAAAATTGCCATTTTTTTAGGCGAAGACAGATTTAGGTGGACACTTTGCTTTCCCTTTTAAATGTTAACATATTATACGGTTTGATACTTTATTCCATGCTCATCAATAATCCTTACTCGTGCAGCAGTTAAAAGATAAGACTCACCAAGCAAATGGAATTGAATATGATATCAAAGAGATTTTTTTAAAGTTTTTAAATGATAAAACTGATTTCTAAAATGCGAAATGATAAAACTGATTTCTAAAATGCGAATCCGTTTAGAAGAACCAGCTTGATAAGCGGAAACTAAATCGAATATTTTAAAACCCGAATTATCTGTGGCCATCCACCTTTATCAGTTCAGTACAAAAACATAGCATTGCATCATCCATAAAGTTTGTGCTTAAATGCTAAACTCTACGTTCGCCCAGCCATAACTCCCACGTGTCAAGCAATTGCAGTGAAATAGGCGCTTATAATTCCCACGTTAGCAAGAATTTTTTTTTCCATTTAAGCAATGCATCTGTTCATAAGTTAAAATTATGAGACTAGAGTATAAAAAAACACATAGATATATATATAAAAACCAAATAAAATACATAACAGATTTTATCCGTGAAAAATTAAAGATATCCACATTTTTAGTTTAGGGAGGAAGATTTACAGATTTCTTAAGTGCGCTCATATTCAGAAGTTAGATGGAAAACAAATTATATTATACATCAAAGCGCTGCAGATATTTCCTTCAGCAAATTTGGCATTATACACTCAAGCATATATATATATATGCTTGAGCATATATATATATATATACATATATATATGCTTGAGCAATAAAATTTAGTTTTCGGCAAGTTTAGCGTCTTTTTCATCAAGCTATGCTCTTTTTTAGCGATTTCGTGGAGGTACCTATATATATATATGCAAATTTGGAATTATATATATATATATATATATATATATATATATATATATATATATATATATATATATATAATAAAATATAAATTATTTTTAATTATTTAATTGTTGTTATTTTCATTATCCCGACTCTAGAAATTCGTAGACGTCTCCTGTAGCAAGCGATCCGTCCACTCAGCAGGGGATATCAGCAATTGACTTGTAAATGCTCGATTCAGAAAAAGTGGTGGCCGTACTCTTCGACAGAAATGTCCAGAAAGTATCTCAAACCAATTCTGGCCAACTTCGACCCGATGACACTGGGTATTATCCTGATGGACTTAACCATTAATATTGGGGTATATGCAGTTCATTAACTGATTTATATGGTCACAAAGCAATGGAATAGTTACCGCTCAGTTATGTGTTTAAGCAGACTAGTTGATAACCTATTTCATGAAAAACACAACTACACCATTTTGTTGATAATTAACCTCGTGGGATCTGCGTTACAAACGAAGCTTAGCACCAGCTCGAAACAACTGGAAAACTAGCTTATCATTCTGTGTTCGATCGCTGATAATCTGCGCTGCCTAGCTATGAGCAGTCTAGTTGATGGGCACACTGACTCACTTGCTGGGTTGCATAATGTATGGGCATTTCCATGACGTTAAGATAGGGTGGTGCCACTTACCACTACCTTTACATAGTGGAAGGTTAGTGTATTTGTCTTCTCTGTAACCGTTTCGTTCTAATCTAGCTGAGTTTAATCTTTACATATCCTCGCAGTCTATTCGCGGTATTTTTCTTCCTTTCACACAAACTCAAACTTCTTTTTTCTTTCTTTCCAGTTTTGCCTCTTTTCCCCCTCTCACTATTCTCTTCCTTCTGACCTCTCTCCTTTGCCCGTCCACTTTTATTTATTTTTGTATGTTTGTCTTGCGTTCTCATATTTCACTTTCACTTTCAATTTCACCTTCACTTTCACTTTCATTTTCACTTCGTTTTTCTATAAATTCCTTTTGGTTTCTATTCTTTCTATTTCAGTTCACTTCTTCGTCCCCGGCTTTGTTTTTGCTTTTCTTTTCCCCCAACGATCTTTTCTCCCTTTTCTTCTCTCTCCCCTTTAGCTTCTTTACACTCGCTCATTCACTTTATTCTCTTAATCGTTCTCTTTTCACTATTAATCCTCTTTCTATCGATTTCCCACTCTTTATTATTTTTCTTTGTATCTCTCTTAATATTATTTTTGCGTAACGCTCATTGTTTCTCTCTTTATATGACTCTGCGTCGAATATTCTGACATCTGGCACGGAGCAACCGATTTTTTCCTCCTCCGTCTCTATTAGAGGAATCAAAAATGGTACGCAGACTTTAATTAATGCCTCTGTGACCAAATGGATTATGCGACGAAACAGATGAATGGAATCCCAGAGTATTCAGCAATCGATGGTCCAGAGACGGTCATGTTGGGGCCAAACATACGAGGCCTGGAGATATGAGCCTAGCAATTATTCAATATTTGTTCCATTTGTGATCGATGTCTGGACAAATAAGCGAAGGCTCGCTTGATAAATACTGATATTACTCGTAGCAACAATGATTACAAATATGCAAGTGAGCTTAATAATCATAGTTGTTCGGTTTGTTGGAAGGCATGTTTTGGCGAGTGTTGAAGAATGCCTCGATGAATACGAGTTTAGAATGTTTAGAGAGTTCGAGAATAAATCTGCCAAATACAGGTTTTTCTTTTTCAAAAGCTTACGGCATTGACGGCCACAATCTTAACAGTATAAGATATGCAGATGACCCAGTGCTGATAGCAGACACGGAAAGGAAACTACTCTAACTCCTGCAGAAGGTAGCGAAGGAAAGCGAGAAGAAAGGACTAAGCATAAATTACAAGAAGACAGAATCAATGGTTATCAGCATCAGGAGGAGCCCAAAATGTAAATAATAAAATCAAGCAGGTACAGAAATTTAATTATCTGGAAATTGTTCTAACAGAGGACGGAGAGTACGACACTGAGATCCGAAGATGCATTGGGATGTTCAAACATGCCTTCCAAAAGCCAAGCAGAGTATTAAGAAACGGAAAAATGTCGTTGGAAATAAAGAATACTGAACTGTTACCTGATATCTGTCCTGCTGTATAGCAGCGAATGCTGGACAATCTTCTCCAAGATGAGGAAGAGACATGAAGCAACAGAACTGTGGTTCTACAGAAAGATGCATGTGTCGAACATGTGAGCAACAATGACATTTTGGAGAGAATAGAAAAAAAGAAACATAAAGTAAAGATAGTTGGAATTTCTGAGACATATAATGAGGGCTTGGCAAACCTGATACACACGGGACAGTCAGTTATGTGCCATGCGTGTTACACGCTTAGGCGACCATGTATCTTTTGATACATGACTGATGAGGCAGATTTTTTCCCGCAGTAGGTTACCATTACTTTTTGCGGTAGACCTGTTGCTATAGAAGCTGGTATGTCCTGCTGTATACCCATAACTGTAGTGGGAGAGAAGAAGAGGATCCATACCTTTCCCAAGGGTATTAGCACGTAAGTGAATGTTATGGATTCTCACTGGAATTCGAACACGGCTCCCTGATTCCTCAATCTGAGCCGCTATCCATTACTTCCCCGTGAGGGACAGTAGAAAGCAGTGCGTAACATACTTGGCAGAACAGGGTTTAGGTGAAAAAACAAAAAAAAAAAGACAAAACCTATTAAGAGCTACAGAGGACAGGAAGGTGTGGCGGGCCATGATCATCTACATCCTGAAGGAACACGGCACAAAAGAAAGAAGACGGTCATATAGCGTTGAAACACCAGTTCCTGTACGATCACCGTAGTTAAGCAACGCCAAGCCCGGTCATTATCTTGACGAGTGACCGCTTGGGAATACCAGGTGTTGTAAGGTTGGATGTGTGGATGGTGTAATAAATAATGGCTCGGAATTTTTAACAGGAAAACAGAGTTCCAGTTTCAGTTGTATTTGTTATATTTACTTACACGCAAACATCCTTGGGAAAGGCATAAATCCACTTCTTCACCCCCGCAATTATGGCTTAATTAGTAAGACTTGTATCACTATATCATTATTATCGCCAAAAAGCAAAATTCTTACAATCTAAAATATTTTATGGCTTTAAATAACCTTTAAAGGGCTGACAATCATTAGTAAGCCTAATTTCTGGTCGCCTGTCGATTTTGATTAAAATGATTGAAGTGTAGTTATTATGTAGGGCCATGTCAGCCTTTATTACCAGCTTGGAACAATCATATAATCTTCTGATTTGTGTTTTTTACGGTTTAACAACACTTATTATTTAAAGCCAGAAAATATTTTTAGATTGTGAGAGAACTTTTTTGGAGATAATAGTGATTTATTGATACAACTCCAGCTAATTAACCCATAGTTTGAGGGAGAAGATTCAAATTCATATCTTTCCCAATCATTATTATCTCCCCTCACCCAGCAAAAAAAAGTACTTATAAATGTAAAAATATTTTCTGGCTTTAAAAAGCCTTTAAAGTGTTGATAAACCTTAGAAAACGAATCAATCTTTTGCAAATTTTGACATTTCTCATTGTGTCACTTGTTTTTCGTTCATATATTTATATGACTAAACCAAATTTGGCACAACGTTTCAAGAACTCAATATAAATCAAAATACAAACTGTCCACAATGAATGCGCTGAAGTGGCTGCATTTTAATCATGTTTCGAGAAATTTGCGGAGTATACAGGCAGTTCCAAAGAGTGCATTGATATATCTTGACATTGACCCAATCATTTCCAGCCCAGAGCACCAAAACCAATGAAGGGGGGCTTCCTCTCCCTTCATTCAGCATACCTTTTTACACTTCCCATTTGAAACAATTTTAGTAATTATTATCATGTTATAATTACACCTGTTCATTCCTTAGTCAGTTAATTAGCTCGTACGTCTCGCCGTGTCACTGCCTCATAAATAATGAACTAATCCGTTTTATTCGTGTGGAAAGACGGAAAAGATATATTAATGACGCTGCTTGGTTTCGGTGAATAATATTAACAAAGAAATGACAAGAAAAGAGGTAATAACGCTCTGTTGCTGTGCAAATAAATAAAATATTCTTATCTTTATTTCTATCATATGTTATGCTCTCGTTATTCGATCGAGCACTATAGAGAAAAAGGTAATTTCAAAACAGTAGCCGCCGCTGCTATTAGCGCACTGCTCTTCATTAATGAATTCAGCCTTCTGGCTGCTAGCGTTTCTATACATCCGTATATAATACGTTACAATTTCCCTTTCTCTGCCGTGTGCCGATAAAGGGTAGGATCTCTGACTGATACCAAATCGGTCGGATTTCGATCCCGGCTGTGATACAGCAAAACAGGGCTGTATGTGGATGATATATATATATATATATATATATATATATATATATATATATATATGTGTGTGTGTGTGTGTGTGTGTGTGTGTGTGCATTGATAGCATCAGGTGCCTAACTTTTAGCGTGTTCATGTAAAAGCTAACAAGAAAGACGTGAATCGGAGTTAAAACATTCTCAAAATAGAATCACATATTAAAGTATTAAACATGGATTTAGGTCCCAGGGAATACAGTTTCCGCAGAGTGTCTTCTACAAAGCATCCATAAATTTAATCGTGACAAACTACTCGGCCAAAATCAAATTTATTACAGTAATACAGCACATAAAGTGAAAATAAAGTAAAAACACTATTCCCCCGGAAGAGTGAGTTATACTTCCTTGTTTATTTCTCGTCTCGTTAAAAAAGGTCACAGGTGTGTCCGGAAGTTCCGACTTTAAAATCTTCCTTTTCGTACTTCGGTTTAGTCAAAAGGCCTACTAATGTATAATAAATATCATCAGTATTACTGGCAATATTTTTATCATTATGTTGTATTTTTCTACCTAGAAGTTTATTAATCGGCCTATTAAATACACACACACACACACACACATACATATATATATATATATATATATATATATATATGTGAGCGAGCGGCGCTAAGTTGAATCTGATTAGGAATCTCTTCGTTACCGAGGCCCATTTGGTACAGTTGGTATGTTGTTCGCTTGACAACCCGAACTGTCAGGGTTTCGATACTTGGTGGTGGATGCGCACTGCTGATGAGTCCCAATTATAGGACGAAACGGCCGTCCAGTGCTTCCTCTATTTCCTGTTGAGGTTTCTATCAGACTCAATGAATTAATTGAATATATATATATATATATATATATACTCGTGATGACCTTATGATGAAAAAATAGAAATTTTAGTTTTTTAGTATAACCTCGTTCTTTGTCAATGTATTTGATTCAATGTTGAATATTAATTACATTATTATTCGAACATACATTGTAAATTTCAGATTGAAATTCAGCTATTACCATGATTATTATTTACCATGTTTCTTCTCGATACATCCATGCCTAACTCATCTATCTATCTATCTATCTATCTATCTATCTATCTATTTGGCTTGCTGTCGTCTAAAAAATCTAAATCCGAATCATTTATCATGGAATTGGAACGATTCTAAAACTTATCCATGACTAGAAAATTTAATATACGTGTCTTACACATTTTTAATCAAAAGATCTGTTAATTTTAATGGCATTGTATTTTAATAGCATTATCATGTAAACAAACAGACAACTGCTAAGAAAGTCGGTTCATTGTCTTGTGCGAGACAATTTTTTTCTCTCCAGAATCTATCATACATATCTATACGTCTACCATTCGTCCATGCTTGGAATATTGCTGCAACATATTGTCCGATGTCCCGGGTATTTACTTTGAGCTCCTTGATAAAATCCAAAGAAGAATCAGCAATATTATTGGTCCTGATCTGGCAGCTTGGCCTTAGTTACTCCCCCACCCCGCCGTAAAATTGCCTCTCTGTGTCTTTTCTATAAATACTTTCATGGTAGTTATTCCGATGAGCTCTTAGTTATGGTAGCTAGCTTTTTTGAATTTAAGCGCAATATTAGACTAGCGTCGAGATCTCACCAATTTATAGTTGAGCTGACTAGATGTAGACGTCAATTCTATGCTAACAATTTCATTTCTCGCACTTCTCGCTTGTAGAACTTGTGGTTATCTACCGTCTGACTGATTACTCTTTTCTCTTCCTGATCATTAGTAATATTTCTGTTTCTAATTCTTCCACACCTTTTACCCAATTGTGTCTTAGTGGCTTTACTGCCTTGCATGGGGTGATATCGATTAAAAAAAAAGAACATTTTTTTTTTTATAAAATCATATCTATTCAGGTTCTACATAATAATGGTTCTTCACAAATCCTTTTATTTCAATATCTGCAAATTGTGAAGAATAATGAAAGATTAAGGCGATGGATAGCTGAGTGGCTTTCCATTGCCTTCTCCACGATTTTGGAGCTGCCTTTCTATTTATTTCTCCATCAAGCACAATGAGTTCAGGTCGCTTTGATATTTTACACATACCTGCGTCGAAGAGGAGAAGAAATGATCTCATGCATTTGTCAAGGACATTAATGCCGGAATTTGAATTCTACTTGTCGATTCCGTTTTTCGCACCAATAGCCAATATGCCAATCGCAGAGAACGGTGACTTTCTGAAATCTTTTATCAGCTCAAACCGCAGCTTTTACATCATTGCGTCACCATTCGCTTACGTGGTACAAATAAGTCAGAAGCCTTTTTTGTTTGTTGTTGTTCAGAGCAAGCCAGGTTACCTTGCGAATAAGTAAGATATAAAATGAGGTCGAGACCAATTTAACCGAAAGTATCAAATGCGAAAATTCTTAAGGGAATAGTTAGCCGAAGTTGTAACAGAAATAAATGACTAGAAATAAAATGGCCGAACAGGCGGGAACTTTATGTTACGGAAATCTGAACCATGATAGGGAGGGAATTGGATCTCGCCAGTTCATACGTAATGATATCCATTAATAGTCTGTTGAGAACGAGGCGAACGAATGAGCGTGTAATAAAACTCAGCTTGATTAGAAAAGGTCAGAAAGAGTATAAAAATATTCAACAAGTTAAATTGTAATGCAATGCATATTATGAAGTAAATACAGAAAAAAAATCAGACTCTCGTACAGTGTAACGCGGATATAAGAGACCCTGATATAAGAGAAACCCGGATATAAGATAGATTTTCTCTGGTCCCAAATTAGAGTTTGTGTTAATGTATATAAATTAGACCAAACCTGGATATAAGAGAAACCCGGATATAAGAGACTTCTTCTCCGGTCCCGACAACTCTCTTACATCCGGGTTACACTGTATTAATCTTTCTTATAACTTGATTTCATTATAATATTCTTCTTTTATGCAACGTGTCACTTCAGGGTGTTGTTTTTTGTGTTGTTCAACCAATACAAGCCCCAAGAGACACTCAATGTAGAGGGTTACTGAATTGTTTTAAGGGCGTAATGGCGGGTGGGGATACGTGCACATTCTGATGATAATGTAGGATAGAGAAAGGTTGACTCTAAACTAGATTATACTGATCCTAGAATCATTCTCTCGGGAAAAGACGTTCCATAAAGTAACAGTTCTGGGGAAGAAACTGTCTTTTTGTAGCTTCCTCTTTACCAATGCAATATAAAGTGAATGATGTTGAGTTGACCTTGCGTACGTGACATTGCACTGGTAGAACTAAGGAATATAGCTCGTTTGAATATTTGCCACAAGAATAGTGATAGAATAGAGAAAAGGTAGCAACATTTCGTTGGTAGGAAGGGATCCTAGACCGAAAAATAATTCATCACCCACAAGGCCGCGCAAATGCTTTTGAACCATGTCCAATTTGAACAGTGAACATTGGACAGCTCTAACTCAGATATGGCGGCAGTACTTTATTTTTGGTTTGATATGACTATGGAAGATGACAGCTCTCCACAAC